AGTACTCTTCCAACTGCAGCTATATTGTGTAAACTACTAAACCATACCTTCCAGAATATTGGAAACACAAAAAATCTTGAACATCATGGAAGGCTATATCCTGATGCTTGTTAAATACCTACAATTGATTGAGAAACCTAATATGTAAAGAAAAGGCATATGGTCAAACATCACAGGGAAAGAACTAGCACGGGATCTTTGTCATACCGCGAGCATTACTTTTTTGAAAACCAATTCTGGAAGGTATGTCAAGGTGGTACCACTGTCGATTATGGTACCCTTTTTATCATCTGGTTTAAAAATATCTGTCGGGAGTTCTAGCGTAGTGCCACCAACATTGATTGTCTTAAGGTTCACATTGTAGTGTGGCCTGGAAAGTAAAATCATGACAGGTTATGAGTATGGTATAAATGAAGTAAAACAGCCAGCTGCAATATCTTAAGTAGAACTAAAACTATGTGCCAAGAAACTGTGCGTTCATATAAAGTTTGCAATAATGCCATTGATACGGGACTTTTTACCGACTCAAAACTCACAAAAACAATTGTATGTTCGAAGAGGCCATGGGAAAAAAGAACAGGAAGGGTCACTAGCACTTGCATCTAGCACAACAGCATTGGTGAAACATCTGTTTGTAGCATAGCACAAATGCCAGTGACAGAACATTTGTCCAAAGACCAAATATTTTAATACCTATATTTATTTTCTTCGCACATGCTATTTATCATATTTTATTCCATACTTCATAAGTGTCCAGTTCTCATATAATTTTTTTCCTTGTTAGTTGGATACTAAGCAACGTGCCTAAGCAAGGTTTGTCACTTCACATGTCAAAATTAGCTGAGCAGTCAGCACCCCACCTCTAGCTCTTGGACACCAGTTGGTCAACATTTTTAATCATAAAAGCAAGCAGCAGTGCACGCTATCTTGTAAGGCTTCTGGTAAACTAGTAACACGCCAGTTGTCCACCATTTCATAGAGCAAGTACAGCAACAACAGGTTTTTAGAGCTGGGATTGGGATGGATATTTTTTTTCCATTTTGCTTGAGTTTTCACGTTGCAATAATAGTGAACTATAAAAATGGAGACTTAAGGATTAATCAAAGTCAACAGCTATGAACAATTCAAAAGCGTTATATGACTAGTGGACTATAAAAATGGTGGTTCGTGAAATGCATCATTGACATCAATCAGATTATGAAATATTCTATAAAGTGGCATGGAAGTTCCCTATTAAATCCAACTAGAGCTTTTATTTATGGAATGGCCATTGTTCATTTTGTATTATATCATGGCAGGAGCGACGATGTTATCCTACCAAAATAACAAACATTATACATGGTGCAAATATTGTATGATCACATCTTTTTGGCCCTTAACACAGAACTATGATACAGATTTTATCTCTCTTCCCGAAGCAAGTTCTAGAAACCAAAACAAAATTTACTTAAAATTATCAATGATAGGACAGTTGCAGGAGTGTAATGCAACCAAAATGATAATTAGTATGGCAATGTTAACATACATACATACTTGTCGGCTACCAATGGTGTTGTTTTTACTTTTGGCTCCACCACATCTCCAATAGCAAAAATTCCACCTCCTTTTACAGTATCCAAGCAATGAGCAAATATCTTCTTCACTTTACCAGCAGTAGCTAGTTGTGATAGCATTGATGTATTTGCCTCACCAAAACCAAGAATTCCATCAAGGGCTTGACTTGAACTTCCCAAATCCCCACCTTGTTGAGCACCACACCTACAAAGGAAAGAAGAATCATCTATCCCCAATTAAGACATCAGCACTAACAAAATGTTAATTAGTTGATGCTTGTTTCCTACTCAGTTTTTGTATTGCAATATTCTAGATAAAGAGCATGGGATGCATATAGCAAATCCCACAGCAGGGTTGATGCTTTCCATGATACTTATCTTTTCAATGAAATAATAGCACAAGAACATGTAGCCAGGATAAAGGGCCAAGAATAAAACTTCATTACCTCACAGTGGGACTAAAAAAATTCAAGCTCATGTTAAAGAAGGATATTTAAGTATCTTTGGGGCGATTGCCAAGTATCATGCTAATCTTTTCAGGCAGCATAATAGCCTCTTGCCCTATTCAATGAATGCTAAAGAAGGTCTTTTCAGGCAGAATAATAGTTTATCGAATGAGTGGTATCCTACGAAAAAACGGTTGCAATGTGATAAACTGAAACGACCAGACTCACCCAAAAATGACGCTGGCATTGGCAGGCTGTGTCTGCCCATCCCCAGTCACCTGATCAAACTGCAGTGCATCATTGACGAAGGAACCTACCGTCGAGCTACCATCACCGTACGTGACACTATATTCACAGGGCACATTGGCTCTGCACTTTGGCAGCCTTCCCCCAAATGTAGATGCACAGAATCCCTGATCGCACATCACCGTGCTCCCGGTCGAGGACGCCTTGGGGTCGTAGAGCGTCAAGTCTAACTGCACAGAGAAGCCCACACCGAATTCACATAAAAAATGGGCACAACTGAATTAATCTGCAGTTCAGACACACATACAAAAAAAAAAGTAAGTGGGAAATGGTACCCCGAGCCCGCTCTTGCGGGGGCATTGCTCGCAGGTGATGCAGTTGACCCAGAGGATGTCGCTGCCGGTGTCGACCTGGACGTAGTAACGCTTGGGCGGCGTCCCCAGCTTGACCTCCGTGTAGTAGAGGCTGCGCGCGCCCGGACCGGCCCAATAATCAACCACATTCAAATTCAAATCAAGCACCCACCGGGAAATCCTTCCAAAATAAACAAGCTAGCGAGCGCGGGCACGTACCCTGTGTCGGTGGGGAGGCCGAGGCCGCCAAGAGGGAGGTCAGCGGCCGCGAGGAGGCGGCCGTGGCGGGTGCCGTCGTGGGCGCGAAGGGCGCTGATGTTGGCGCCAGCAGCACCCCCTCCCACTCCCACGGGGAACTTGCGGCGCACCTGGAAGACGCCCGTAGCCGTGGCGCCAGAGGCGGACCCAGCCACCGCCAGCAGCAGCGCGGCGAGGAGGAGCGCAGCACGCTGAGGCGGAGGCGGAGCCATGGGATTATTCCGTGGGTGTTCGAACCGCCCTGCGCGAAGCAACGGGCGGGAGGCCAGCTACGATTCGTGTCCTCCTCCCCTGCTGGCCGCCGCTCCTCCTCCTCCTCCCCGCGGCCTCGGAGCGTCGGCCTGGGAGGCATTTGAGCGACGAAGGAGGGCAAGCAAGGCACCGCAAAACGGGGACGAAAGCGGGGGGCGGGGCGGACAGCTCGTTGGGGACGGCCAAATCGCGGCACGCTCGTATTGGGGAAGCAGGATATGTGCGGGAGATAAAGGAGCCGTCAAATTAGGATCGAATGGTCAATATTTTTTTTTTGAAAAATTGGTTTTATAGCATCTAAAGATCATAAAATTCGAAAAATATGAGAGAAACCTAGTTACGTAAAATAGCACTGAAAGATAGAATTGTTACGTGAAAGTGCATTCTGTCGTGTTTGAATGTAACATTGTCAGCTTCGTCGATCTCCGTCCATCTAAAGGGAGAAAAACAACTCCCAAGCGTCAGCACGTGATGAAGGAGAAGTTCGCCGAGGTCCTACTGGGCGAGAACACGCAGCATGTTTTGTTTCGGCTGGATTGGTTTATAAGTTATGATTCGGCTGGATTGGTTTATAAGTTATGACTGAAAATACTGCTGATTGGTTCGGCGTGAGAAAAAGATACTGTTGGTACATGCTGATGTCCGGCACCGGCAAGGGCGTGGCGTCCGCGCTGTCACCAACCTCGCGGCGTCCCGCGTCCGTCTTCGGCGAGCACCGCGAGCTGCCCATGGCGCCCGACACCAAGGAGCCCTTGGAGAGGGAGGTGGGATGGCTGATCTCCGTCACCGACCACAACAAGTGGTGGATGCCGACGGTGAAGGTGCCGTCGGGACGGGCTGTCGTCGGACGTGACCCGCAAGTGGCAGAAGTACCAGATGGAGTGCGTCAACCAGGTGCTCAAGGCGGCCATGGCCATCAACGCGCAGGTGCTCGTGAAGATGGAGATCTACATTGAGTCGGTGTCAAAGCCTCAAAGGCAAACAAACAATTCATCATTCATTATATATATATATATATATATATATATATATATATATATATCATTTGATACATGGTGTATCGGTATAAGTGATTTACTATAACATTATGGTAAATGTCATCTTGAATTATAATAACCCATGTATCGTAAAATGTATTATTGTCATCATAAATTGAGTGACAAACATTATGATAAATCTCAAATAGAATAAAGTTATTACGGCAAACAAACAATTCATCATTCATTATATATATATATATATATATATATATATATATATATATATATATATATTAATTAAGAGGCATTGATCACATCCATCCGATCCATTCCCTGCTGCAGGAAGTCGGGTACGCCCTTTGGAGAGCTACTCGCGCGTGCTGGAGAGCCTGGCCTACAGCGTCGTGTCCCGCATCGAGGACGTGCTGAGCGCAGACGCGGCGGCGCAGAACCTGACGGCGAGCGAGGCGGCACGCTGGACCTGGACGTGGACGGCGAGGCAATCGCGCCGCCACCCAGCTCAGCCTGACCACCCGCCGGAGGCTGTGCTGATCCGCCAGTCGCCAGAACTCCATCCTGCATGGATCCACCTACGCCAGAGCTGAGCTGAGGAAGAGGAAGGGGATATGATGGGATTTTCACGTGGGAAGAACGGAGGAGGAACGGTGGACTGACGTCGTTATCTCGAACCGTGATAGAATGGTAGTTTCGGATAACGGATGTTTTTTTTTGGTGGGCGTGATTTTGGGTGGTATTCTCCGAATCTTACGACGTTAGGCCAATTTTCCCTTCTTTTTTTTACTAACTTAACAAAACCCGCTTGCGAACCTCACCTTGGCTTTTCTTCGCGTCGCCTCCACTCCACCCTCCGCTTCCTGCCTCCAGGTCCGGGCGGCGGCGGGGGAGGAGAGAATGGCCTCCGCGGCGTCGGCGCCGGTGTTTGAGAGGGTGGCAGGGATCCGAGCCATCGCCGAGTCCGGCCGCTTTAAGGCAAGCTCCTCCCCACTTCCCAGGAACCAAGCTATTACCTGCTTTAATCACAATCGCTCCGCCCCTCCTGTTGCTTTGCTTGGCTTCGCCAGTCACTGTAGTGTAGTAGTTGCAGTGATTGGGATTCGCCTTGCGACTAACCGTGGGACGCCGATTCCGATCACCAGATCGCAGATCCTGTAGAGAAATCGCCTTATCCTTGTGGAAATTAGAAGCTGTCCTTGCCATTCCCTGCTGCTACGCTCTCATTTGGATACAGCTGAATCTGTCTCGCACTCTCGCAGGCATGGTTCCTGGACCAGTTTGGCGTTCTTCACGACGGGAAGAAGCCCTACCCCGGCGCCCTTTTGGCATGTATGTTGGCACAGAGAATGTGTAGCTACTTGTGTTGAGCTTGTTTTTGTTTCCTTTGTGTTGAGTTGATTCATGCAGTGGAGAAGCTTGCGGGGAATGGGGCAAAGATGGTGATAGTCAGCCACTACCGCAATTCTTAAATTTGCCGAGTGTATTAATGTTTGTCGAGTGTATTCTCTCGGATACTCGGCAAACAAGCTATTTATCGAGTGCTGCGCTAAAAACACTCGGCAAAAAAAAACACTCGACAAAGATGAGGTTTGCCGAGTGTTTTTTTTTTGCACTCTGTAAATAAATAAAAAAAAATTTCTGGGAAAGAAGGAGAAGAAAAAAAAATTAAAAAAAACTTTGCCTAGTGCCCAGATCTAAGACACTCGGTAAAGAAATAAAAATATTTTTTCTAGAAAAAAAAGGAGAAGAAAAAAAATGAAAAAAAAACTTTGCCGAGTGCCTAGATCTAGGACACTCGGCAAAGGAAAAAAAACTACTTACTGTGTCAAAAAGAGCCGGAAAAAAAAATAAAAAACAAGCTTTGCCGAGTGCCTCCCATCCGCCACTCGGCAAAGCAAAACTCAAATATAACCCCCCCCCCCCCCCCCTTCTTCTCCCTTGCGCTCCTCCCCTTCTCCAGCGCCTTGCAACCGCCCCCCCCTCCTCTCTCCCCACCGCCCCCCCCCTTCTCCCCACACACCAAGACGCCCCCTCCCTTCTCCGCTTGCGCATGCGCCCAAGCCGCCCCCTCCCCATCTCCCTTGCCTTGCCAAGCCCCCTCCCCATCTCCCCGCCGGCGGCCCCTCCACTCCTTCCCCAGATCCGGCGGCGGCCCCTCCCCCTCCCTTTGCCGGCGGTGGCGCCCTCCGCCCTTCCTCTCTCGACGGGCGGACGGATCTGGCGCGCGGCCCTCCTCTCCCGGCGCGGCAGCACCCTCCCCCCTCCCTTTCCCGGCGGCGGATCTACCGGTGGCGCTCCTCCACCGCCTCTACCAGATCCGGCCCCGGCGTGGTGGCGGCCTGGGCGTGGTGGTGGTGCGGCGTGGTGGCGGCGCGGCGAGGAGAAGACGGCGGCTTGTTTTTTTATCTTTTCTGAAAAATTGTTTGCCTTTATTTATTTATTTATTTTGAAAAAAAGTTTGTCGAATATTTTTTTTTTTTGCACTCGGCAAACTAGCGTTTGCCGTTAAAGAGTTTGCCGGGTGTAACACTCAAACCCTTTGCCGAGTGTTTTTGGGTCTTCGCCGAGTGCCCCCGGCACTCGGCAAAGCTCCTGAATCCGGTAGTGAGCAATTCCTCTAGGCGGTCGTCTGTGACAATGGAGAAGCTCAAGAGCCTGGGGTTCGATACATCCTGTTTCCTCACGACCATCACCAGTGGGGAGCTCACACATCAACACCTTCAGAAGTAAGCTTCCTGGGGCCAGTTTCTTCTGCCGACAGAAGTTATATTTGTGCTTATTGTCCCCTTTAAGGATGTAAAACTTGATAGATGTCATAGTATGATAGGCTTTAAGTTACCTTAACATTTGCTGGGTTCTGAGGGTTTCATTTTTACATTGGACTGCACATATCAACCAATGGTTATGATACTACCAGCCAGAGGAGTTCATTTTTATTGTATGTAATAATATTGGTCCCGTGATGTGACTTACTGGAAATTGTAGAAAAATTATCTACATTTTACTGCAACATAAACTGTCTATTAATCCCCCTCTACGATTTAATTAATCCATGAATATAGGAGAAACGACCCATGGTTTGCAGCCCTTGGAAGGAAGTGTATCCATATCACTTGGGGCGATCGAGGAGCAATCTCTCTGGAGGTTTGTCTCCTGCCACTTCCACTTAGCATCGGAATGGATTTATTCTAATCAGTTTTTCATTTTCTCATACTATAGGGCCTTGGTTTGCAAGTTGTGAACAATGTTGATGATGCAGAGTTTATATTAGCCCACGGTACTTAAGCCCTTGGTTCACCGTCTGGTGATCCTCTTCCCAAAAGTCTCGAGGAGCTTGAGCAGGTTCTAATGCGTGGCCTAGAAAAGCGACTTCCAATGGTGGTAGCTAATCCAGATTATGTCACTGTTGAAGCTCGAGATCTCCGTGTCATGCCTGGTATTTTTTTTCTCTCGAACACGTTGGACATATGTGTATCCTTATAGAGTAGAGAGGAAAAAAGGGGAAAGAATCACATACAAAGCAACCTCTTTACCTCACCTAGGAGATAAGAGAAGGTTCAGCAAAGCACCAAAGTTAATCACCTAATATACATGTAAACAATGAACCGACCTTACTAAAAACACTCACGCTAGACCCTCTCCGTGACAAAAAACTAGCTCCTGGAGTTTTCAGGCACCAGCCTCAACTCATCCAGTGTTTTAAAGGTGACTAGGCGTCCAGGCCGGTGCTAGGTCGCCTGGACGCCTTAGGCGACAAGGCACCACTATTTCCCAAGGCGAGCTGGGTACGCCTGGACGCCTAGGTGACACCTTTAAAACATTGAACTCATCTTTAAATAAGTGTTGTGCTGATGGCAGCGATGGGGTTGCACCAAAAAAAAAACTGTTCCTGTTATTCCATAGGGCCCAAGCTCCCTAGATTACTGCACTGTTAAAACCCTTTCTTTTGGACTTCTCAACTTTTTTTGCATGCTTTTATCCACCACTCGTATGTTGTTTCATGGCTTATGATCATGATGTTAAGTATTACTCCTATGTCGCTTAGCTTAAAATGAATCTGAATGGCTGCACTACGAATTTAGATATTGCTTAACTATAAGAGTATGATATTGCTTAACTATAAGAGTATGATGTAAAGCTTTTGCTTTGCTTAGTATGTAAGCCTATGTTGCCTTTAATTTGTACATTTCTGGTTATTCACTCAAATGCAATCTCTCCTTTTAGGCACTCTGGCAGCTAAATATGAGAGTCTTGGTGGTGAAGTGAAATGGATGGGGAAGCCTGATAAGGTATTCAACTAACCATTGCATGTCTACTTATGTAGATTAAAGAACAATTCAACTGCATCTTTTCTGCATGTTCGAGAAAAGAAAAGGAACCATTCAACTCTATCTTCATGCAGCACCGGAGCTTAATCGAGGGACATGGCTCCTCCTCAGTCTTCAGATTTCTCAAGAAATCACTTGATTTTATTCAACAATTTGTTAAGCATAACTTGATTTAGCTTGCGCCCCCCCCCCCTATCTGTCATCAAGCCACATCAACATCAGCATCAGCATGATACTTAAGTTGCAATGGCACCCGAAGAATATGATGAACCACACGCTAATGCACCCTTCTATAGTTTTTTCCTTGCTAAAATTTTGTTCTTGTGTGGTAGGTGCGGAGAACCTTTTGTGTTAGCTACTAATGTGTTATGGTTTTGTCAGGTGATCTATACATCAGCGATGTCCCTAGCAGGTGTTGATGCTCATGAATGTATCATGGTGGGTGATTCACTGCACCACGACATCAAAGGAGCAAATGCGCCAGGAATCGCATCTGCGTTCATTACTGGAGGGATTCATTCAGATGAACTTGGACTCGTTGAAACTGCTGGGGAGGATGCCATCAATTCACTGTGCAGCAAGCATGGATCATATCCTTCTTATGTTTTGCCTTCATTCACGTGGTAGAAACACGATCTAGATATTTTGTTTTAGGTGCACTGGAAAGTGATTTTAGGCAGATATTTTTATGGAAATGCCACACGAGGATCAATCCGTTGGAGGTATCATTGTACTTAATAGTTACTGTGGTTGTTCGATAATCGCTGTTAATTTGATAGATAGAAGCTGGATGTATCTATGCTACGGCGTTAAGAGTTTGAGAAATAAGGGATACCGGAAACAATAATCCAAATGAGGCATTGCTTATTTCAGTTCAGCACAGCAATCAGTATGTGATTACTGAATAGATTTCAGGACAATCCAGCTAGGATGTTGATTTCCTTGTGATACTCTCATTTCAGTTTCTCTAATCTTTCTAAAATGTGACCTGGCAGCTGAAAAAAAGTGATAATGTCAATTAAAGTTGTCTCGTTGCTAAACATGGGTGAACGCCCAAATTAAAAGACCACGTTATACTGAACAGATAAAAATACTAAAGTTCACTGTCTGCCAATCGAGTGTTTCCCTTTTTGTGTGTGTGTGTGTGCGCGCGCGCATTGTTATGATGGTCTGCGTTTGAGAAAATGGTGAAAAAGTAATGATCAACAAGAAGGTTGTTGCTATGAAGATAGTGAACTTTCTGGATATATATGCTCATGCTGCCTATTCTTGCATACTGTCCGATGGTACTGCCAGACTATCGGACAGTAGTGCCAGGCTTAATAGCTTTTGGTATAGATTTTTCTATGTAAAGATGATGAGGCTCATGATTATCAAGTATGCAATCCTTGGGTCGGTACATTTGTTGTGCCGATGAGAGGTTCGTGTGCTTTTGCAGGCCAGATGATATGCCGTGGGACGGAGGTGACATTCCCAACTCTGACCCACAATCTGCTCTGTTGCTCATTTTAGTGCCCATCATGTGATTGCTACTTGCTTGAAGGTAGTTTGATGCGGAATCATGCAGGTGTTACTGTAGATATTCATGGAGTATAAGATACTTGGTTGTCACAGGAACTCAGACTCATTCGGCACCTCATGAATGTTTTAGCTAAGAGTAAAATGCATGGATGGTCCATTAACTTGTGAGGGTGTGTCGATTTGGTCCATTAAGTTTGAAAGTGCATTTTTTTCAAAACCTTGACCAGTGATGCATAAATAATCCATACCCCTTCATTTTATGTTTATATTTTTAGAAAACACCCTGTATTTATTTTTCTTTCACACTCCACTGTCAGATGTTGAACTACCTGCTCCCAACCACAAACGCCACCGCGACGGCGATGCCACTGCTCTGCTCCTCGGCGTTGGATTGCACCGTGGTGAGCTCCAGGTCGTAGATGTCAAACCCGAGGAGGTTGGTGATGGCCGCGATAAGGCTGGTCTTGCCGGTGCCCGGTGGGCCATGGAGTAGGTACCCGCGCTTCCGGGCGCGGCCGGCACGCGTAGTGCTCCCTCCGCCGCACGAAGCGGAGCAAGTCCGCGTGGATGCCATCGCGGAGCGCCGGGTCGATGGCGAGCATGTCGAACGTGGACGGGTGCGCGAACTAGTGCGACGACCACAGCATCCTCGTGCGCGTCCGGTCCAACGCCACCGAAGACGCCGCAGTAGGCGCTGTTGGTGTAGAGCTTCCGCTCCCTCATCTTGAGCCGCAGCTGAAAGCTCTAGTTTGGTTTTGGTGAATTGATGAAACCCTAAGTGCTAACCCTTTGCTCTAAGTGATCATGAGATAGGTTAGTACTAATCCAAGTGGTGGAGCAAGTGAATGATGATCATGAAGATGGTGGAGGCCATGGTGATGATCAAGTGCTCAAAGCTTGGAAAAGAAGAAAGAGAAAAATAAAATGGGCTCAAGGCAAAGGTATATTTGATAGGGCTATTTTGTTTTAGTGATCAAGACACTTAGAGAGTGTGATCACATTTAGGATAGATAGTCGTACTATTAAGAGGGGTGAAACTCGTCGTGAAATACGGTTATCAAAGTGCCACTAGATGTTCTAACACATTGCATATGCATTTAGATTCTAGTGAGTGCTAACACCCTTGAAAATGTTTTGTGAAAAGTTACTAACACACGTGCACAAGGTGATACACTTGGTGATTAACACATTTGAGCAAGAGTGGTGAAGTTGGAGAAGTGGAGGAGCAACTCAGGGTTGACCGGACACTGGCTTGGCAGTGACCAGACCCTGACCCTACGTCCGGTCATCACACGCAGAGAAGGGCGCGGCCTCGGTCTGTGACCGGACGCTGGTCCAAGTGAAGGACCGGATGTGACGGTGATGACGTACGCTGACGTGGCTTCATTGGGGCTCAGCTTGCAGCACAGAGGTGACCGGACTCAGGGTAGCATCCGATTGTTGTCGATCTAACGCGTCCGGTCGTCAAAATTCCTCTCTGCATAGTTTCTAGAAGTGACCTGACACAATGTAGTTGTGAGTCAGATCAGTGGAGCAGCGCGTCTGGTCATTTGCCTACGTGGCTCGCGCGCGCGTGTGACCTGACGCTGGCTTGGCGTGTCTGTTCGGCGTTTGGTGCATCCGATCGTGACTTAAGCACTCACGCGATGGAAATCGACCGTTGGGATCTGGCGGCATAGATTTCATAACGGGGGACATGTGGACAGCGGTTAGAGATCGGACGCTAGGGCTGGTGCGTCCGGTTAGCCTGACCAGCGCATCCGATCACCTCGAGATCAGTGCAGATAGGGGGCCAACAACTCTATTCATTGGGGCTCCCTATATAAATGTGGTAACCGGCTTGGGCTCACCCTCTTGGCCATTTCTATTAAGAATACATCCTAGTGAGCCTAGCCAACACTCTCTCACTCACTTAGCTTGATTGATTCATCATTTGGTGAGATTGGAGAGCATCTAAGTGCATTGCTTTGAGATTGCATCTAGAGGTACTTGGTGGTTGTGTTTTGCTGCGGATTTTGCTTGTTACTCTTGGTGGTTGTCGCCACCTAGACGGCTTGGTGCAACGAGGATCGTCAAGAGGAGGAAGGTGATTGTCTCTGGCTCCAATCGTGGTGATTGTGAGGGGTTCTTGACCTTTTCCCAGCAGAGAGACAAAAGGTCCTCTAGTGGATTGCTCGTAGCTTGTGGATCCCCGTCTTGTGTTGGTTGTGCGGCATCCGATTGCGGGTTAGGCGTGTGATGTCTATTAGCGCGTGAACCTCCAAGTGGGTGAATCGCTACAACGGGGACTAGCTTGCCAGCAAGCAAGTGAACCTCGGTGAAAAATCATTGTGTCATCTTGTCTCTGAGGAATTCATTTGGTACTCATTGTGGTTGATTGATCTTCTCTTGCCACGGCGGTATAAACTCACTACCTCTCTTGTATTTACATTCTTAGTGTAGCTAAGCTCTTTAGTGTAACTAGTTTTGAGAGCTAGCTTGTGTCTTGTTAGTTTGGTTAGTGAGTGAAAGGTCCTAATATGGCTAGAGGAGGCGTGAATAGCCTATTTAAAACTTTACAAAGCACTAGAGCAATTGATTAGTACAACAAACGGCGTAATGCAATTTTGCTCTAGCTCTACAAGGGTTGCAAGCCACCTATCCCAACTCTAGTTGCTATGAACACTAGGTACACACAAGAGCTAAGTCACTACTCACTAAGCTAGTGTGCTCTCAAAGACTAACTAAAGAGCCACACTAACCAAACTAACAAGCTCTCAAAGACTAACTACACTAAAGAGCTTGTCAACTAGTTTGCAATAAATGTAAGAGAGTGAGTAGGGTGATTATAGCGCCGTGTCGAGGAATGAACCAATCACAATATGAAGACAATCCAATCATCGGGAGAATTGCAATCACACAAGGGACACAAGTTTTTTCTCCTAAGGTTCACGTGCTTGCCGGCACGCTAGTCCCAGTTATGTCGATCAATACTTGGTGGTTCAGCGGCTAATAGGTATCACATACCTAGCCAACAAATGGCGCCACAAGAACCTGCCCACAAGTGAGGTAGCTCAATGACATGAGCAATTTACTAAAGTTGCCTTTGGCGCTCCACTGAGGAAGGCACAAGACCCCTCACAATCACCGAGAGACGGCCACGAACAATCACCAACTTATGCTGATGCTCCTCCACTGCTCCAAGCCGTCTAGGTGGTGGCAACCACCAAGAGAAACAAGAAATATACAGCCACAACGATCTTCAAGTGCCATCTCAAGCAAATGCACTTAGAATTACTTCCAATCTCACTATGATCATGAATCAATGATGGAGATGAGTGGGAGGTGTTTGCTTAGGCTCACAAGGATGTCAAGTATGTCAAAGTGCCAAGAGAGAGAGCCCCAAGCCAGCCAAAGTCTATTTATAGACCCTCTCAAACAAATAGAGTCGTTGCTCTACGCAGGGCTAATCGGACGCACTGACCCAACGCAGCCTAGTGTCCGGTCACCAGCGTCCGGTCGCCCGATGGCCACCACGGGTCACCTCTTTGAACTGTAGCCGCCTGATCTCAATAGTCAAAAGACTTAGCGCCAACGGCTAAGTGATGACCAGACGCGCCGTGAGAAACAACCTGACACTACGCAACGCAGAGTCCGGTTAAGTACAGAAACTACACCAAGAGGTTTTCCAATGACCGGATGCATCCGATTAGCATCGACGTGATGTGCCCGGAGTCTGGTCCTCACACGGCTCACTCACAAAGCATGCATTAGCATACATCAGCGCAGACCTGACGTAGCCCCCGCGCGTCCAGTCGCCTGACGTCTCCCGCATCCGATTGCGCCATCGAGCGACGCCCTCACTGCGCGCCATGACCTGACACTGCGCCATGTCAGGTCCAGCGTCCGGTCAGGACTTGGTCCTCTCAGCCAGTGCTCATGCCACCTAGGGTACACTAACCGGATGCATTCGATCATGTGCAGTGATCTCCTTTTCTTTTTCTAACTCCTCAATCGCTTCACCCTTGCTTTCAAGTTGCTAACCACAGTGTGTACAACTCATGTGATCGTGTGTTAGCATTTTTCAAAGCATTTTACTAGGTTCAAGGTTAGCACACTAGATTCCT